CCTCAGGACATCCTGAGTATATCCCGGGATAAAATTAGGATATCCTGTGGATATCCGTAATGTCCGTCCTGGATGTCCTTCGGATTTCCCGAGGATGTCATAGTGCTGTCTGGCATGTATGTGCATAATACATATATAACTGAATATTATAATGTAACTTTCTATACTCAATTACAATCTATCTAATAGTTCGTTTTTTTTCAATCAATATAATGACGATGATGTAATAACAATGTATTATTTATATAAACATTATAAGTATGTATATTTTTGGTCGTATAAATAAATATTTATACATATGTAGTAGAAATTTATAAACGCAATATGCTCACACATGAATTATATTTAATATATGATGAAGGCAGACACACATATGATATACTGTTTTCTATGCGTTCCGATACTCTTTGATACGCGTGCGAAGCGATAGAACAGTAGAAATATATGATGTCTTTTCAACATATTGAACACAATTTTTATTTACTCTTTTGTGGTTATTTTTATGCATAACGCTGTCGGTAATGACAGAACTAAAATTATCGATAATTATCGACAATTCTAGTTCCTCTCAGATGAGGGCGCAAACCCGTCGGAGTTCGGCCGTAGCTTTAGGATCTCCTTAAACGCAAAAGCATGGTGTCTATAAATAGACTAATAAGGCGCGGGTCCAATGGAGATCCGTAACCGTAACCGTAAACGTAAAAAGTTGAAAGACTGAAAACTCGTTAAAGAGTCTACAATATCGATTGGGTCACCATAAAAGTGTGTCCGTAAAAGTTGGTTTGTTTGAACTTTTACGATTACGATAACGAAAAGAGGTTAGAGTCAGAATTACATCCAGAACGGGTATGAGGTTATATGTTTATAACTAAATATAAAAATTTATAATAAATAACAATGGACTTGACGGACCAATGTTTAATTGAATTAGTCGAGAAATGTTCCTATTTGTATAATAAAAGTAATCCTGATTATAAACATAAAATAAAATCACAAAATTCATGGTGTAGCATTGCAGAAGCGTTGAATGCAACAGGTGTGTATATGCTATCAGTTTTATTTATTTATTTAGTTCTATAGTAATACAACAACTTATACGTATATAGTATACTATAATTAAATCATACATATTATTATGCAGCTGCTGACTGCGAACACCGATGGGGTCAATTGCGAGAACGTTTCACTCGTGAGAGACGGTTTTTAAAAGTAGGACTTCCATCTGGCTGAGGATCCTCAAGACAGTCAACTCCAAGTGAACTGTATAAAGCTTTGCAGTTCTTAGAACCTCATATTCAAAGTAGAAGATATATAATTTATTACCCATTTAAGTATCTTCACAAAATTTATTATATTATATATTTATATTTATCTTATACACTGCAAATTGCTGAAAATTGACTCATCCGTATAGTTAAAATGCCTAATAGAAACATATAGATGTGAATAGAAGCTTTTGTCTGCATCTGTGCATTTCTTAATTAAAGATAGTCGACTATCCCTAACAGCACATGATATCATTCGAATATTCTGTTCTGATACTGTGAATATACGTAATATATGTAATATACTGAGAACATCCCTATAACATTTCTTGTAGAATATTATTTCTCGTATATTCTCAGGATATACCTATAATATCTTTTACAGTATATTATTTCTCGTACATTTTCTTGTATATTCTCAGAATATACTTATAATATCTCTTACAGTATATTATTTCTCGTATATTCTCGTATATTTTCAGAATATACTTTTGAGTTACGCAGAATTTCATAGTGAGATATCAGAACCATCTGGTGAGCGTCCAGATAGCGCTGGCATCGCGGTAGCGCGTGGTCGCCTAGAGTGTATGTGAATATATGAATATATAATCTTGTGAAAAGAGATCGTTTGGTCGAGCTTTTAGTGCTCAAGGTCTGGGTATCGATTCTGTAATTCAAGTGAGGGTGAAAGGGTGAAAAATGAACGAATTTACTAGGTTTGGACCAATGAAATTATATATTTTCTAGTAAATTCGTTCATTTTTGTAATTTTCACTCTCACTTGAATTACAGAATCGATATCCTATTGACAATGTTGACCGTTTT